GGTCACCAGTTCAATTCCCATCAGGGCACAAGCCAGGTCCCCAGTAGGAGGCATGCAAGAGGCAACCACACATTGTTGTTTCTCTCCCTCTCTTTCTCCCTTCCTTCCCTTCTCTCTAAAAATTAATAAAGATTACTGAGAATCTATTATGTGCTGAACATTTAAAAACAAACAAACAACTAAAAGAATGGTTCTTATGGTTGCTGTTTGAGATTATTCGAGAAAAAATACTTTTTTCATTAACTGTTTTATTAATTAATTTCTTTAAAACATTTTATTAAAATTTTTCATTGAAAGAAAGATAAGTATATACAAAGTTACATTTGTCTGCTAAGTACTATATATCTAGATATATATCTACATCTACATCTCTAGGTATATCCATATCTGTACTCAATCCAAACATCTACCCTCAGATGAAGTAGAGACTCAATGGCATTAAGGGGCTTCCTAAAGTCATAGCACTAATTTGCAGCAGAGCTCATGTTTGAAATCAGCATTCAGTGACTTTAAGCTTATGTTCTTTCCACAACATCATCTATATTAAAGTATTAGTATAGGTACATAATTTTCTTAATCGAGTAGTCATCTGAATACTTTCTCAAGTTACTTTTTTTGACACATATATTTTCTTAAAATTTCTTCAATAAGAATCTCCTTAAATACTAGATAAGTATGCAGCTTTCATAAGTGACACAGAATGATTTCCTTGAATTGCAGTCATTCATTTCATATCAACTTTCTCATCATCTGAAAATGTCAGGAAACTCAACACACAGTTGCAGAGGTGAGAATCTTTTCATTTATAGCTGCACTCATTCAGCCATGACTCAGGTATTCCAGTCTAATTTGATAAAAAGGATATTTAACACAACAGGGACCTTAATTGTTTTCTCATTGAATAAAATTTGTCACCAGGTAGATAATTTTATAACTCAAATCCTTCCAAATAATTTTACCTGGGGTGGATATCTGAAAAAGATGCAAATCAGCTTACATATATGGAGTATTAAAGAGAGAAATCTGAAAATGTGTTTAATACATTCCTACAATCTATACAATTGAATCCCCAAAATCTTAGCTATTTCAGTTTTTATGTAGAACCCTGTAACTGCACCTCAATAATGCTTTAATAAATCATATGTTTTCAGACTAGTGAATTATCACTCCCCTGAGAGGATAATAACAGTTCTTCCATGATCCACTGTGCCTAGTTTATGCTTGTGTTTTACTAATCATGGGCTAGGGATGTCTGAGATTTTTGATTTTCTACTTCAGGCACTTTGCCATGCCATTTTTGGGGCCTACAAGGACTACTGCAGTGTCTGACAGAGAACTGCAGCTGTGATCTGACAACTAAATTAAGAGTAATTTAGTGGTGTACAAGTAATAAGGTTCTTTATCATGATTAACTGTCATCTCCCACTAAAATCTTTAAGGTAGGTGAGAATTAGCTGCTTCTCTTAACCTCACTATCTAGCTTAATGAAAAAAAATTCAGACTAAATTCCCCCCTACATACAGTCCTTTATGAAACCAGCGTGTCTTAGCAAGGAGGCACACAGAGATTATACAACCTGCTCTGTAAGCTCAGTGAAACCCCAGCAGTTTGTCCTTGGTAGTTCCGGCCACCACTGTGCATGAAAGGCTCACCAGAGCTGAGTACAGGAAGATGAACTTAGGGAAATGAGGTCATTTCAGTTTTGTGTTAAGATAAGCAGTTTGAACTTTTCTGAAAGATAGGAGAAACCACGGGAGAATTTTAATCATGGAAGTAATGTACATTCTAGAAAAATCACTCCAACAGCAATGCGTAGGATGGGCTGAAGGAGGATTGGGCGGAGACAGAGTTGACGAGGGGTTCACACACATGAGAAGTGGTAAGAGCTAGAGCAAAGGCAAAAGCTTTGAGAACAGTGAAGGGGGCAGGTTCAAAAGAAATAAGCCAGAGGAAATGAGAATGAGTGTCCTATGTGAGAGTGAGAAAATTCAAGAATTTCTCAGAACCTTGGGCAATTGCATGGATAGTGCTGCACACTTAAGTATGAAAGACTGAAAATGAGTGAATAATTAGGTCAACGGTGGCTTTAATATGGGGCATTTATTCTTTATATATGAAGCATCTAATGAATTAGTTTTCCTTAGAAGTTTTATAACCATAAAATAAAAATGGAAGGCTATGACAGGAGCTTTTTTCATGATCAGGTACTAATACATCCCTGTCAACCCACTAGATTGTCTTTTCCCTTGCTTGGCTTGAGTTATATAGGTTCAGTTCTTTCTTCTTCTTTAAGCACACTAACTATAGATGTCTGCCTTCATTGGCTAACCTAACAGTAATTACAGTTTTTCACAAGCATACGTTATTATGAAGCACTGTAAACTCTAATCCTGCAAATGCATGTTAATCTGCAATAAGCATAGTTTATTGTGCACAAATTTTTCCTGAAGTAACTAACAACTTAGACTAGAAATCCAATATAATTAATAAAATGTTTTATATCTATATCAAAATTATGAATTATTCTAAGCGATTCTCCCTGTGCGGTCACTTCATTAAGCATTATGTATTTATATACTACATAATTTGAAATAGGAACATACACTTTTATCTAGACTTGCTCCATCATGCAAATGCATATTTTTTCCTAATTAAATATAGCTTAAAGATTCCTAAAGAACATCCCTTGTTTTCTTATAAAAAGTGAATTTTTCCTGAACATCATGTAAAACTTTATTTGTAAGAACAGAAATGGTAAAGTAAATCAATATATTGAACCCAATAAACAGTGTTGTTAATTGGGAAAGCAATGCTGTATCAAAACAAGTAACTACTTTTTAAAGATCTAGAGAATGATAAAACACCCTTAAGTATGAAATTCATGTAACATCATTACAACATAAAACAATATTTTTAAAGTTAATCAAGAGATGTTTTAGAATCTTGCAGATTATTAAGAATAGAATTTCAATAGTAAATTATCATGTTTTGGATGTTTGAACATCTAACTCCTATTAGATTCTCTTCTATTAAATTGAATACTAAACAATGGATTTTACTATACAAAAATCAAAGAAGAATGCAGACAGTGAAGCAAAAGCAGAATGATTTATTGTGCCACCAATTCTAATTTAACAAAATACACCAAATAACACTGAATATGTATTTTCTATCTCTATACAGAAATGTGTCTAAAATAAGAAATTAACTATTAAAGTTACATTTTTTAAATAAAGAAACTTCCTACAGATAACCACATATGAGTATTTATACCAAGAGTATAGAGGTTTATTTAAAAGTATGCTATCATGTTAATATGTTAAATCACAGAAGAATCATCTGTCTCCCTTCTTTTGGCTATATGCCAGCCTTTGTTCATTTTCTGATTATATTCACAGGAAAATATGACATAATACTATTAAAAATAGATTTGTTAAGGAGAACTAAATACAATTCTATCAGTGAAAATACTATATGCTACTGAGCACCCACAGTAGTATTAGTCATTTTAACATGAAAGCAATTTATAGGGTTTAAGATGACTATAGTTGTATCAATGTTTCCAAGTAAAAGAATGATGCAGAAAGAGCATGAAGCCATATCTGCCAAAATGTCTTCCAGAACATTGTTTCAATAACAATAAACTAATTGAAAAAATTCCAAGAAATAAAGAATTTAGCTAGTGAGAACAGCACTAAAATAATTATGCATATTTTCTTTCTGATATTTTAGGAGTGACTTTTGGTACCTCCTCAAATCGTGGAAAGGTACTACTTTGAATTTATTTAGTTTACAACATGACCTTTTATATAAAGTTGCCAAGGGTATAGATGAATAAAGTTATATGCCAAAAGTCATATTCAACAAAGTATATATTTTCATTTTTTAACAACTTATTTCGCTCAACACTATTTTTTCTAATTTATATTGACATATATAAAATTATGAACTTGGAAACAACTCTACAGAAGTTCTCTTCTTTATTTTTCTAAAGAGAAGTGAAGGACATAGAAGAATTTAGAAAAAATGATTATAACATATCCAACCATTAAATAATATATATTCAGAAGAAAATGTTTCAATTGTTTATATATCAAAAATAAAAGATGTTTAGAATAATTTACATTCACCTTAAGGCACAAAATATCTTTTTACGTTTTGGTTAAGAATTACTAAATTATCCCTCAATCCATATATGTGATAATGTACTTTTTGAGATGCTTATTTAATAATCTAAGAAAACATCCTATCTCTTATTTTGTAATATTTCTAGCTAAATAATTATTCTGTGCAAGTTATAAGGATAACAGTTAAAAAATAAAATAGAAAAACAAATATAACTGGTCACTAGAATAATTACATTGTGTTCTACTGAGCAAACAACAGCACATAATTTAGAAGACAAGAATTCACAAGTCTGTGTTTAAATAAGCATTTTAGGGGTAGGCCTCCATCATTCAAAATATTTATGTTACAGAAAACATCCATAATCACCCTGCATTGAAAATTTCTCTTGCATATCCTTTAGTTCCTTTAACATATCCATGTGTTTTAAACAAGTTGAACTATTTCAGCCTTATAAGCTTTGAGCCCAATTCCAATTTATCAAATTGAGAATGGTAGCAATTTTATCTTGGGAAATGAATAGAAAAAAATGGACAAGAAACTTGGTTATTTCAATAAATGATCTCATATAGCCTGATACAGATGTTACTGTCCTATGAAGGTTAATAAAAAGATAGCTCTGAAATATATTCAAGATAATAAATAAATAATACAGATATTTTCAAACTTATAGACAGGTGAGCACTCATCCTTGCATGTAAATATACACATACTCCTACATCTGTCTTTCCAAATAGTTCCCTTTCCAGATTCAACATTTTTGAGGGAAAAAAAAAAACCAGAATAGAGCTCTAGATAAATACATTCCAGTTTTTGATCATACTTTACATTAAATTCATCTATCCTTTAAAATGCTTAGGGCTAATTTTTAAAAACTAAATCCCCCATGGAGTACGTAAGATAGTAACAAAGTGTTCATCATCTACTACTCCTATACTTAGACCTTCATAGTAATCTTCAAATTCCCCATATGACACTTCATCAGACTTGCTGCAGGCATCTTTTAATGTTTCTAGAAAAGATAATTTGATTTCTTCCTCTGTGGAATGACCTGCAAAATAGTACAGACCATGTAACAATCTCCTTAAAAGTACAGGGAAATGACTGATGATGGTAAAGAAATACCTTGGTACAAGGTAAAGTTAATCACCTTGTAAAATCTTTCCAACAACTTGAAATCTTATTGCAAACTACCCTCCAATTTATTTAAACATTTTGTTGCATAAACCAGAATTTAATGGTAATGACTTGAACACACATTGGAGGCATTTTTTAAACTTCTGATAGGGTATATCCTATATGTATAAGCAAAATAATAGTTACTACTGTAGATATCCTTTTATATCTTAATGTTTTAAAGGACTCAGCTTCATCCCCATTAGAAAGAAAAAGAAAACAAATAATTTCAAAGATTAACACAGTGATGCAATGTATGGAAGGCATCTCTACATTCAGGTATTAGTTATTTTGTGAATCAGTTACTCATAACTGCAGCTAGAAAATATTACTGCAAACATAAGATTCAAAGGTCTATGAAAATGTCTGCTGGAAGAGCTTACACTTCATTAAATCATTCTGTTTTCACCTCTCACATTAAGTAGGCTATTTTCATTGGCTTATATTAAATATGATTGTTGAGAATCACACGTGTAAAAAATTGTAATTCTTCAGTTTGTTATTTAAAGGGAGAACATAAAATATCTGATTCTTCTTTTCAAAAAGTCATATGATTTTTTAATTCAGAAAGAGAACAATAAGCTATTTAAATAAGTAACTTTGATCATATTATGGTTAGAGCAGAAGATGTATCACCATTCTCTTGGGAAGTTTTCACTAACCACACAAATATAGGTGTTCCATCATAGAACTCTTCTCTCTAATTTGCCACCCTGTTCACTTCCTAGCCTTCTTTGCACTGACCTACTCTCAGAATCTTAGAATAGAACAGAAAAAAAGACATTCATTAATTTTTTAATAAGAAAAGGGAAATTAAGAGATGAAAGGAAGCTACACATATAGAGGCCCATGTACAAAAGCAGAAAAAAGATTAGAAAAATCTACATGACTCTATAAATGATTTTTTAAATTTATTTTTATAAGGATAGTTGGTATAAATCATTTTAAAGTCATATTGCATTTAAAATAGCAAACTTAAATTGGAATACCACCTTAACTGTTTGTCTAACAGAAGAGGCAAAACTATGGTAAGAGCTGGCTCTATTTCAAATATTAGAGGTTCTCTAATGGACATAGATAACAATTAATTGTAAGGTACCTTTCAAACTAAGAGAACAAAATCTGCTTTGAATAGCAAAATGCTTGCTGTCTTTTAAAAACATGTAAGAAATAAAGAACAGTGACTATTTTTTTTAAAAGCAGCTTGATTAAGCGAGGATTGAATAATTATGCTACACACAGTAATATAAAACAATAAAGTGAATTTGTCATTGAATGGTAATCATGAATAAAAATTAATCAAGATCTAACCTATTTAAAAATATAGGGAAAGATTTCCCTTTCTGTTTACCAGCCATATGTTTGAACAGGTAAGTTTTCACACTATTTTTCTAAGAATAAGATTTTTTATTTAAATGATTTCAAATATTCAAGAAATTTATACTTCTTTTCTATTCCCACCCAGGAAATACCTATCTTCTGTCATTTGTAACTAACCTTTCTTTTGCTTCTCTTAATACTTTAATAAACATTGTATTTCTAATACAATTACATAGAAAAATGCTTGATAAATTCCATCTCTATTAAAACTAAAAATACTTTTTAAAACAAATTATTTAAAGTAAAAAACTTTTGTAGTTAAATTATGTCTGATCTAAAAAACTTAATTTGAAATTAATTTAAATTGTAAACAATTTATATCCCAAAGAAGGGCATGTGAGTAAACTATAATTTGTAATGATGTATTTAAAAAAATGTTTTAAACAGTAACAGGTTTTCCTCTTTTTAAGACTGTATAGTTTGTTAGTGTATCTTCTTTAATCTGAATGTAAAGAATAGGAATGTAATTTCTTAAACTAAAAAAGTTTATCCAACAACAAAACAAAACCTTCACCAACAATTCAACAACACATTAAAAAAAGAGACAAAACTAAAGCTAGTTAAGCAATCGAATTAAAATTATTAAAGGAGAGAAGACAAAGAGAAAAAATACACGATGTTAAATTACCTAATTTTGAAATAAGTAAACTGTTTTGTTTTTATCTTTAATATGATTAATTAAAGGGAAAATGCAGAGAATGACATGGATTTTAAGGGAAAGATATAATGTGTATAATTAAATAATACTGTAAATTCTCTTATGGCAACAGCAGTTCAAAGTAATTGATAAGCAAATTAAGCTATTTTGACCTGAAATATATTATTGAAAATTGGGAAGTCAGTGATGATTATTAACTTTAATCTTCATAACAAATTTTGTTTTTTTAACTTAACAATTAAAAGTAATAAAATAGTTACAAGGGCTAATAACAGTAATAAACCAAAATAATCACAGGGTTTTTTTTACTATTAAAAAGGAAAATTCTAGAATAATAGTATTCTATAGTATTTGACTATATAATCCAAACTAGGAATTAGAAATTATTCATCAAATATAAATTATAAATGGTCAACAAATATACAAAAGTATGTTTAACTTCCCTAGTAACCAGAGAAATACAAATTTTGGAAAAAAAATTTGGTCTGTGAGACTGCCAAAAATCTGAGGTAAAATGAATTCTCCAACTAATGGGAGTATAATCTGTGATAGCCATACATTTTACAAAGCAATTTGGAAGTATCAATTAAAACCTGAAATGTAGATATTCTAGGTTGTGATAGTACCCCAAGACAAGAGCATAATACAGGCCCAGGTAAATTGTAGTACATTGATTTTTAAAAGAATAATATGCAGCAGATAAAAAGAAGATAGTTCAATGTTAGTTAACATAGAGTTCTAAAACATATTGTTGAGTATAAAAGGCAAACTATGTAACACTGTTTAATGAACTATTCATGAAGGAAAACTTCAAAAAGTTTTAGGTATTTATAGCACATATACAGCTATGAAAATCCATAGAGTAAGGAGTGAAACGATATATATAGATAGATATATATATATATCTCTATATATATAGTAACTGCTACCTCTATAGAGTGAAATGTAATATAAAGAGGGGAGTTACAGTGGCCAAATGCTTTCTATAAAAGGAAAATTCATTTATAAGTCAACTGTGTAAAAATTAAGGTCAGAAGAAATATAGTAGATAATGAATCTCTAGAATTACCTTGAGATATTTTCTATATCTTCAAATTTTTATAGACATATGTGTATTCATTATATGTGTAGCTCTATCCCTACAGATAGACATCTTCCCATTCTGCCTTCAAGTATATCTTCAAGTATAAGCACAATCAGTAAAACTAACTCAGGTAATTTGCACATGTATTTATTTGTTCTCTATATCTATTCTGTTTTATTTAACTCAAATTCCTCACTATCTCAATAGGAAATAAAAGTTCAACCTTGATTACAAACATCAAAGAAAAAAATAAGTACAGGCAATAGACCTAAGAATTTTTACACGAAGGTTAAATAGTCTTTTTCAGTTTAAAAAATAATTGTTTATTCCTCCCTTAATGGTCTCAGGTCCACATTATAAATTAATGTTATTTGAGGATATTGCTTTTATTAACTAACATTTTAGAAATCTAATGCATTTTGACTCATAATAATTACCTGAAATTACTTGAGGATGCCTCTTTGCACAGTAACATTTTCTTATGTCTATAATAGGCACACTGCCAATTTTGTTGAAATCCAGTTTCATAAAAGCCTAAATAATGAAAGAAAAGTTATTTTTTTCTATGTAATCATTAGACATGTGAACCTAATTTTTTGTTCTGTAGTTGTTATTCATAGGCCCTAAACAAGACAGTGTAAAAATACTAAACTGGTTTATGATGGAAGCATCATGAACACAAGGAAGAAAGGTATTGGAGCAAGACGGTTGTTGGCACCAATTCAACATCAACTGGAACCTCCAATCTGGGGTATACAGTGAAAAAGGAAACTATCCAGTGTAAACAACTCAATTGTGATGCAGCCAGCTGTGGAAACAGCTCCATAGTGTTACAACTCAATATGAAAAGCAGGCTGTGGAAAAGCATGGCTGCAAGGTGGGCCTCCGGTGAGGCGGCCCTTGAGTGAGGCCCCTCTGACGAAGCTCTGCTCCCATCCAGTCTGCTCCACTTCGCTCTGGTCGGGGTCTGCCTGATCTCCGCACCTCGCTAATCTGCTTTGCTTTAGTCTCAGGAAACGTCTTCACTGTTTCAGCTCCAGCTGGGGAAAGCAGTTTTCAATCTTCAACAGCAAGAGAAAAGTCCACTCCCAGAATCAAAGGAAAGCTGATTTATAGAAAGAGAAGTCCCCACTCCCGGACTTTAATTGGTCCATCCTCATGCAAATAAGGACTCCCAATCGGCAGTTTAGTTTAAAAGGCACTGTCCTGATTGGTCAAAATGGAACTGTTCTCATTGGTTGGTAGGATGCTAATGAGGATATAGCTGCACAGCTCCGCCTGGCAAGGAAAGTCTCAGCCCCATTGGTTGAAACACAGTTCCAGGAACTCCTTTATAAGGGCTGGCTCATACAGCAGGCACACACTGCAGGCTTCTCCCAGAAGCATGGTCTGGGTGAGACACTCCTGTTTACAAATGGCTGCTAGGTTCTGTTTATAAACTTGAAAACTGTAAGCCACCAGGAGCTCTTCTTAGTAGGTATCTTCTTTCTAGTTCTATCATTTTCCAGCACCTTGACTTCGATAAAGTAACCTAACCTCTGCTGCCCTTGCTTTCCTCCTCTGCACACTCAAGGTAATTAAAAAACTTCCCAGGTAAGCTCCAGTTTAAGAGTCACATGAAACGGATAAATGGCTAAAACAAATTGCCAGAACTATTTTGATTATATATAAGTGAATGTCCAAATATTCCATCACTAAAATCGAAGAGGTGATTAAGTTAAAATGGAATCATTAGGGTGGGCCCTAATCCAGCGTGACCGGTGTCCAACCGGAAAGAGGGGATTAGGACAAAGAGAGCGACTCAGACTGAGAGACAACTGTGTGAACGCCCAGAGAGAAGACGAGTACCGTCAAAGGAGAGAAGCCTCAGGAGAAACCAAACCTGCTGAAACCTTGATCTTACACTTCTAGACTCCAGAATTTGGGGACAATAGATTTCTGTTGCTTAAGCCACCCAATCCGTGGTACTTGTTGTGGCAGCCCCAGCAAACTAATATCGTACTTTATAACACTACTTTGACCTCTATTCCCAATACCGAGATATAAAAAAAGAGACAACTCTCCAGTTTCTACTTATGATACTCAAACCTGTCACCAGGATACATAAAGTACCAATAAATGCAAATTTACAAATACTATGAGGTGAATTTGTTTGACTTAAGGTTTTTTTGTGTGTCTTTTGGCCAGTTAAGATTTTGATATTTTTCTATTTGTGACTGATACTTGATGTAATTGTCTATACTACTCTATATGCAATAGTTTTGTTTCAGTATTAGATACATATATATTTTATATTAGGCACATACACAAAAGAAAAAGAAAATTATATTGCTCAAAAGTATGTTATAGAACTGGCTACCAGAACTGGATTAATTTATAGCTTCCTATAAAAACCAGGACTCCTGTTTTTTCATTCCAATTTAACATGATTATTTTAATCTTCATTTTAACATTTAACATGCATATTATAAAAACCAGAGAATTGTCTTAGTCATCAAGATAGCCTGTATTGAGCCTTGACCACAGGAAAGCCACAACGTATTTTATAGGTATTATCTCATTCAACTGTTATATCAACTCTATGAGCTAAGGAACTGAGGTTGGGGATATTCAAAAACACATATAGTCACATAGCAAGTAATTTATGGAGCCAGCAATTTATGGAACTAGTAATTTGTGAAACAAAATTTGATCCAGATTTCATTTTCCTTTTATATTTCCTAAAACATATGCACAAATTTAGCTTTATCCTGGGAAAGCTGTATGTGTTTGTTAGTTTGTGTTTTACTAAAACCAAAATACATTATAGGTAAGGGATCTAAAACACTTTCAATGGTAATTCATTAAAGCTTTAAAATTAAGAACATAACAATCTATTAAAAGAAACTACATGTATTTGAAAGATTACTCAACAAAGTTACCTTTCGAACAAATGATTTCCTGTATTCATTCATTTCACCAATAACTGCACGTTTGAACTCTCTGTAATCAACCTTGCCATTGCCGTTGTCATTCAGAATTAGCCATGAAGACTCAAAATCCTAGAAATAGCACACAGACCAACCACTCTTACACCTTTAAGTTGTATATGACTACAAGATAATAGTATTTTGTTACATCTTTTGTAGTCCTGGACAAAGCACTTAAGAAAATTCCAAAAAATTACATATAAATCCAACCAAAGCCACTCAGAAAGCTATTTAAAGAAACTCTGTGGTAGACAGTTCTGTAAAGTTAACAACCATTTAGGATTGGCATTAAGACACAAATCATCTTTAAATTCAATTCCTTTCTATAAAAAAATAAAAACACCATTTACTTGGATTTGAGCATTTAATTATTTTTACATATTATATCTGTGACAATTAAAAAGTCACTTCAAGTTCTGGAATGCCTCCAATAGCATTAGGACTACTAACTGTATTTCTGCGAGTCATCATGCTTGAAAGTATAAAGCATAATATTTGAATGACTCTAATAGTATTCCATAATTACACCAAAAGATGTTATTTTGAGTAAATCCTTTACGCAAATTTGTTCATTCTACCATTGCCACTCACTGTTTTGATGAATGCACTATGTAATAGAATGCTCTATTCCCAAAGTTCCTAACAACAAAGAAATTTCAGCATAAGAATTTCTTAAACTCAGGTAAATATATTTTCAATGTTTCAGTCAGGGAGTTAGCTTTAAATAAGAATGTAAATAAAACATCTTACAAGGTGATTGATAAATAATAGATACTCAAAAAATATTCTCTTCTATTTCCTCTTAATTTTTCAAATAAAACTTTTGTAATAAAAACCAAAGTTTAAGATCCCTTGCTTCTTCCCAATTTTCAATAGCCATACATTTTTGGTTCTTTCTTAACGACCTGTATAAAAGATATCGTAACACTTTATTTACCCTCACTTGAGGACATCTTTTCATTTTTTTTTTTTTGTTTGTTTTTTAGGAGAGAGAAACAGTGATGTGAGAAGCATTGATCAGTTACCTTTCCATATACCAAACCTAGACGAACCCACAGCCTTTTGATGTATGGGATGATGCTCCAACCACCTGAGCCACAACAGCCAGGGCTGTAAAATGGGCTTTTATAATCATAACTAATATGGACATAAAGAGATAAATTTGCTCACCCAGCTAATGGAATACTAGAATTAAAAGATAACACTAGAGGATTAAAAGAAATACTTTTCAAGAACTGAATAATTTAGCCAAGGTGGCAACAAATTTATGTGACTCTTTCTTTTTCAGATGTGGTACAGAATGAAAAATAATAATTCAGTTGAGTAAAAACTGAGGTTAATTCAATGATACTATTTCTACAGAAATTAAGCTATTAGGTTGTATACTGATTGTTTTTTTTAATTTCCTATCAGGAGAAACAACTATGCCTTACCACAAACTAGTTCTACAATTAGGTTGGTGATCCTTATTTTCTTATTTTATAGCCACTTAAGTTTGTTTATCAGTGTATGGTCAGTCTCCAGAGATATAAGGGGAAAAAAACAGGGAATATTATTTAAAATATATGAAAAAAGGGGAAGCTCACTCATATTTTCATTCTATATGCTCTCCCTATTTCGGGCACATTATATAATTTTTTTTTAGTTTTTATTCCTGAACCTAATCATAAAAATTTAACAAATCAATCAAAAAAGGGAAGTATTGTGGTGATGCAGAAAGAATACCAGACTGGCCCAGATTATCTGGGTTCTAACTTTACCTCAAGTATTAATTACCTGTGTAATTGTGGAAAAAGACACCAAGACTTTCTAATTTTTTATTGCTGTTTTTTCTGTTTTGGTTTTGTTTTATAAAAGGAAGAGGTCATTAGATAATTCACAGTGTGTGTCTCTAGGTGGGCCATAAGATTAAATGTTGCAAAAACCACAAAAGACAGGTCTGTCGCAACAATAATATACAACATCATATTGGTACAGATTTTATACTCAATAAGGTATATTCCCACATAATTTTCTCACTTGAGCTTCAAAGCTCAAATTCTTTGACTATAAGTATTATCCCTGGATTGCCCAGGCAGAGCTTATCAATTCAAAAAGAAAAAAGACCTATTCAAGATCACACAGTTCAAGTAGCAGGCTTAGGATTTGAACTTATATCTCATAAATTCAATTTCCAGTGTCTCTTCCACAAAATACATCATATCTTGTGACAAGACAGTCGAAGCAAAAATGAACAATGAAGATTTTTTTATCTGAAACTCTTAAAGTAGATTTGTTTCAAATTCATATACTTTTAGCATATAATCCAAACTTCTTCACATGCATGCATGACTTCAATGCAATAGACCCTCCTAAGCTTATTTCTCTCCATTCTTCTTTTTCTTCCTTCCATGTATCTATCCATTTAAACTAATGCATTGTGTATTTATTTATTCAGTACTTGACATATGTCAGGTTCTATTGAAGGTGCCAGAAATAGAGCAGGAAACTAGAAGCACCCTGGTCCCTGCCCTGATGGGGTTAACATTCTTCTTGCAGGCAGAGCCAGGCAATCCTTTCAAAGTGGCATAAAGAAAATAAAATGGGTAAGTGGTAGAGAGAGGACCAGAGATCGGATGGGGTGCTCCTACAGACAGAAGTGTCAGGGAGTACTCTCAATAGAGAAAGCTGTGGCCTGGATGATGAGAAAATCTAGCCATGCAAAGGCCTAGCAGCAGAGAGAACCGTATGTGCGAAGGCTCCAGGGGTGGGGAGTGTGTGGACGAACCATTTGCAGCTCCTGGACAGGCCATGTTCCCTCTCTCCTCCATGCTTTCGCAATGTGCGTCTCCTGTCTGGGAACTATCCATTGTCTGATCCACACTCCTCCCCTCTTGTCTGCTTAATTCCTCATCTTTAAAATTCAGCTAAAATATACCCTCCACCAGGAATCCTTCTATGATCTTCCCTCTCCTTCCCCATAACCTGGTTTGGAATTTATGCCATATGCTCTGAAATCATTCTCTACTTAATACATACCGCAATGTTTTGTAATCATTTATATTGTTCAGTCTTTTTATTATGAAGATCTTAGAGTGCAGAGTGTATCTTCTCAGAGCTTAGGACAATGGCTAGCTAATGTGCTCTTAATATATAATATGATAGAAGAATGAATGTTGAAGTTTTAAAAATCAACAGGACTTGTTACCTGATGGCTTAACACTGATATCAGGGCATAAAGAAAAAGGAGACAAATTAACTGCTAAAATTTCAGTAGAGAAGTTAATAATAAGAATAATTCCTAAGAATTATACCTAATAATAATTCCTAAGAATTATACCTAACAATAACACCTAAGAATAATAAATCATTCACTACAGGGAAGTATCTGTGATACATACCTTTTCAGACACTTGTAAGTGAAATACTTTTAGAGCTTGCTTAAAATCTGCTTTATCTAAAAGTCCATTTCCTTCTTTGTCCAATTGTTGAAAATATTTTCCCAAACCAGTCAAAATACGAACACTTTTTTTATGTAACTGTTTTTTTAGCTTATCTGTTTAGGAAAAGGAGAGATGGAAACTGATAGTTCCTATTCACAAATTTATCAAATTGCAATTGTCTCTCATGTAAGAAAATTAAAGCTGATGTAACTGATAAAAAGAAATGTCAATCAAAACACATATATGACTGACAAAAAAAAAGTTGGAAAATAAAATCCTTGTAATACAGGTTAGATATAAAATTACATATAAATACACCAGAACTATAGCACCACTGTGTGGTGAAAGTGCTATATTTTAAATAGAGGAAAATAATGCCAGTTTACCAGCATTGAAATAACCTAAATGTTACAAAAGTTTACTCTCTAGGTATTCTCTTCATCTAACAACACCACATTTTTCATCTCTTTCCTCTGTCTTTGTTGCTACCAACTGAATTACAAAATTGGCACCAGGCAAGTCACCCAAAATTATCCGTTCAAAATGTCTAAAATAGTTTGCGATTTTCAAATTATAATTTACATATGAAATAGCATCAAGATTTTGGAGTGTTATCCCATAATGATACATTTAAAGTAACCCTTTCTTCCAGGAATTCATAAGAGGTTATACTCTCAGGCCCCAGCATTCTGTCTGTGGGTCAGTGCTTTCCCTTAATGCAGTTTGTTCTATTTTTAAGAACATATAGGGAATGCTGCTATAGTAGTTACTGAACACAATACATTAGAGGAAGTACATGCTACTAGATACAATAGTGACAAACATTGTTTTAACCATAATTGAATAAACAATTTACTAACAGTGATATCAAGAATATTTGAAATTTCAAATACCAATTCCAGACAACTTTGAAAATTTCTAGTCTTCTTACATCCTGATCATCTTTAAATGATAAACCAGAATTTACTAAAATTCATAAACTATATGTTGATTTTCTGTGACTACTTCTAGACTACGAAATTGAATGCAAGAATTGTCTGAGCCTAGTATACTGCAGTAGTTAGAAAATTAGACTCTAGAAATAGAATATGTAACGTTTGAGTGTCCAAAGCCTGTGTATGTTACAACTATGAAAATTATTAAAACATTATTTTCCCCATTTTAGAGATGAAGAAAGAGGTACAAGAGATTTACACAGTCATATGTCTATTGAATGAGTGTCCAAACAACTCACTCCCAGTCTCACATCTTTCCTTTTACGCTAGGCGACCACAAATCTCTTTACGATACTCGTCTAATGTGTGAGACAAGTATTATATTATAAAATTAGACACATTTGGCTCAGCTCATGAATAAAACCCATATCATCTGGTTCTTTCTAGAATTCTTAAATTTATAATTCATAGAATAGTAGATATTCAGTTAGAATCATTAAAGTAGGAAAAATCTTAAAAATATTTTTAAACATATATGTATATATAATTAACTTACAAAAAATAAGCAAATCTGAAATATAAATCAAGTGCCATAAAACTTAGAGGTATCTGAAAAATACTGCTTTGCTACTTACAAACCAAATTGTTAAACATTTAAAATACTCAAGAGTATAATAAAATAAAACATACCTTGAATGGCTTTAAAGACCAGCCTATCATTGGCTTCTTGAATGGTTACATCATCCTCATGTTCCACAGAATCAGTTCTGCAACTGACATATTTGCAGTGATAAAATTATATTCTGTTTTGTAACCTTGAGTATGAAAATTCTAAGCTCTTCCCAGTTCTATATTCAATGAAACTCTCATCAAAGTTGAAAGAGTGCCAAGAGATTAATCAAATCCCACCATCTACCTGCTGATTTAATTCCCAGGGGGCTTAAATATGCTAAGGGCTAAAATCCTTAAAACCTTCCAACAAGTATCCTTAAGAATTATGTTCATTTTTTAGCTATTTTCTTGTCCTTTTAAAATAATTAAAACTATTAAACTTAAAAGCAGTTTTGCCTTACAAAGTATAAAATGTAAAAATGTTATATTAGAAAGCCAAAAGGTGCATTCAATTTGAGCTCTACAGTAAAATGACATAGTAATAAAACCTGCCTTATAGCCAATTTGTGGGATATGGCCTCCAATGCACATATAGTATACCAATTATTATCATTTTAAAATATATTTATCACCAAGAAATACTCATAAGAATAGCAAATATTTACCACCAAGAATCACTCAGCAAGAATAATAGCACATAAGAACACATATAAAAAATACAATTCAAATTCATTTAAAAGCATTTTTGATTCATAGCATTATTCTTCTAAATGCATATTACCAATGAACACTATTAACATGTAGAACCTGAGACATTTTTTGATGCTAAAAAAGAATCTCACTAAAATGTGGGGAAAATTATTAATATTGTACTGTATTCCATCTTTTAAATTTTATTGCTTTGTTAGCATTTCATAAAATAAAAGTATTATAGCAAAGGCAAATTAATAAAGTACCTTTAACATAAAATGGGACATTTTTGTTCTTTACTTGATTGTAACTTTTCCCACACATGGAGTGTAAGCACATAAAATAGATAAATACAGCTCTGCTTTGTTTTAAAAAATATAAATCCAACTAAAGTCAAAATGCTCTGGGACTGAATCTCATTTTAAAATAGTAAATAATAGTGTTTCACTTACCTTCAAAATGACAAATGTATGTTTGACTTACCTGAATGAATCCAAAGCTATCTGATCAATATCTGTGATTCGAAGTATAAGTAATGTGCTTTCTTTTATGCTTTCTGGAAGTCTGGGATGATCAGAGCTTAAAAACGTCAAATTTGCACCCTAAAAAAAAAAAACAAATGAATTATCTAAAGCTTAGAAAATCTATAATAAGTAAAATACAACTAATACTAATTTTAAATATTCTATTTTGATTATGTGACATGGTATACTCTTATAATGTTTTTTAGCAATGGGGGAAAGGTGGGACAACTGTAACTGAACAATAAAATAAAAAATAAAAAAATTAAATCATAGGGACTATTAAAAATTAAAAAAGATATTTGCTCATATCAACATAAAAATAAATAAAAATAAAAACATTAGGGAATCTGATAGGAAAATAAATAGATAGATAAATAAATAAATAGCATTTTAGAGACCATTTAGAAGTTACACAGGCTTCAGCTAATAATACAGGAAAATAAAGGAACTAACCTTCCAATCAATCTCTGAGTTAGAATAATCTTCTATTTAACAACCCATGTATAAAAAATAATATAAGAGATCCATTTTTATAAGAATCTTAGGAAGAAAGGATAAATTCTTTTAGGAAGTGTTTAGGAAAAGACCTCGGTGCGGCATATAGAATATACATGTTCCACAGTAACATCTGGAAAGCAAAAGAAACATCCTCTCCCTGTCAAAAATGAAGAAGAATGTAGAATATTTCTGCTCTGCCTCTCTCTCTATAAATATATCTTCAGGTAAGGAATAATAATAATATTTTTTAAAAAGAAATGAAATATTGTAGGGAGGAAGAGAAGATGCAAGGAGTCAAAAAAAAATAAAGAGGAGGGCTTTTACCATGGGAAATATTCAAGGGACATATTTCTAAGAATAAGAATGTCTAATCATAAAATTGTAAGTCGCCAACACTGCTGCAGTATTAACCTCTCTCCATGTCCTTTTCAAAATGTCTGCCACACACACAAAGCGTCATATACACGGTTTGCATGCAGATTCCACCCACCTCCCCATTTCCTTCCTTTTTCTTTTTCTTTTCTTTCATGGAAATCATTAAAGGGAGCAGAGTTCTACATCTGCTTACATGACATGGAACAGAAATAGTGGGAATAAGTCATAAACAACACTAAATTATTGGAGACAGCACTCAGAGATAGAGGTAACTTCAGTTGTGGAATAGGCATTAACATCCTTTCTGCAGGTTGTGAAAAGGGAGTCGAAGCTGATTTTCTCCAGATCCCAAGATGCAGACTTGAGTGACAAACATATATTTTGTTTAAACCAAGTTTAAGATGTAAAGTTTTTCCTCACCTCCAATTTCTCACCTAAGTTACTATATCTAACTTATTCTATCTCCTAAAGATTTTCTTTAATTTTATTTTTCTAATTATCTTCACAGCCACAGCCACCTGCCCAATTCTATTACATGCTTCCTAAATTTATATATTTCAGCCCAATCTGGTTCTTTATACCTAGTCTTTAATCTATTTCCCACATTGTAACCAGGAAATCTTTCTAAATTACAAACTTGATGTCACCTCTCTCCTTCCACCCACATCTTCTTCCGATGACTCTCCAACACATTTTGGATAACTCTTTAACAGAGGCTGCTCTTAAGTTCCCACTCATTCTTGACAACACCAACCTTGAACCTTAAACTCCAGATGAATTTTTCCCTACCCTCTCCAATCTCCCTATTCCACCTAGCTAACTCCTTGTCTAGGTGCAGTTTACATGGCATTTTCTTCAGGAAGCCCCTTTGACCCCACAAAACTAAATTTTTACCCCTCCTGTCTGAATGTTTCCCATTAAACTAAACTCCACAAAAGCAGGAAATGGGTCTTACTTACTCACTGTTCTCTTGCCAGTGCTTAGCCTATGAATATGTATTTATTACATAAACGATCCCTGTGGATAGTGCTGCATTTTAATCACAAGATAACAATGTGACTGTAATGATTTAAAATGTAAGCGCGCTCTACAATTTGTGACACTCTCTATGATTGACCATTACTACAAAGATCCGTGTGATACATCATGTGACAAGAGTTGCATGAGGTGAGAAAATCACAAGAATAAGCTAACTATCTGATAGATACCTGACAGCTCCAAATGCCAACAACCCCTGTGTATGGGGAAAAAAATGCATCCTCAGAACATAAGCTTCTTTTAGGTGGAGCATTACTCCTCGTTCCATTGAAGTGGCCCCTTACTCAATGGCACAGCCTTGTAAAGTCTTCAAAAGTCAAGAGACAGGATCCCCTGGGCTTACACTGTGGATCTGGGTGGGGGCGGAGAGTAGTGTTATGGGGAATACCAGCTAAGTCAGAGAGGCAGAACCTCCAGGGAAACATCAAACATGCACCTGCTCAGGACAGAAAATCAGTGGAAGATGAGAAACCCTGCTCCTCCAGCCCCACAGGATCCCACAAAATCCAATATATGGAATTAAAGCTTTTGTACGCACATACTTAACTTACAATATAAAAATCACCAAGTTGGTATTGTTTTCCTTTTCTTCGTCCACACCAATGACTGTAAGTGTTTTTTTGAATAAAAGGAAGCACATTTGTCCTAGAAGTTAAATGACAAAAATGTGAAGTTATTCAGCTCTACTCAAAAGTAATCATCTTGAGAGTTGTAACAATGCTTTATGGCATACCTATTTTTCCCAAATTGCCGATATTCGTAAATTGTAAGGGACTGGTCATGAATAAAAAAGAACCCAACCAGCTCTCTGCAAGCATCATGTCCATTTCTAGAAAAAGAGAATAACATCAAAGATTTTTGTCAGAGGAATAAAATTAACTCCCTCGGATGTGTGGCAAAAGCAAGGGCTATGAGAAGCCACAGGGAAAACAGGCCACTGCTTGCTGAAGGGTCAATTTAAGTTAGATTTGCATGGAGATAAACTTTACCTTACACTGGTATGAATATGGATATATAGATTTCTAATTTGACATAGATGTAACATAAAGTGAAAGATCTTTTTAAAATGTTCTGCTTGCAAGAAGCCGCTCTAGGGTATACATTTATTATCCTTTGTCCAAGAAAGTTTAAAGTCATTAAACAAACGTGATAATTAAAAATAAAACTTTACCATTAGTGTACACAGAGAATATCAAATAGCATTATGTTTTACTGGAAGTCTGTAAGACTGAGAAAAGAGATTTATGAATCACTTATTTAGTAATTTTCTTGAATCTATGAATAATCTACTGTTAAACTATTACATTATATTATATAAAGCAGCTTACATAATGGTAATTTTAAATGGTTTAGAATCTTCTGGCAGTAATATATGTCTTTTTAAAGTTCACTTGTACATTTCTTTTTGAAAGGCATTTTAAATCACATTTTAAATAACTTCCAATTAAAATGCTTTTCTATAGATTCATACTTCCTATAACTTTTGTAACAGATTAATTTATATATATTACCTAAAAAATGTTTGTTCTAAATTCACATTTTCACTTGTTTGTGACAAATTTAACTAAACTCATTATTGATATTTCTATTTGAAAACAGAATACATTTAATAATCATAAGATTTAAAAGTTTAATAAGGTCATAATTACCTTGATATGATCCTAGCCTCAAACTGAACTTTATGAGAAAGCATATTTTCGGTTAACGTAGACTGCGTTCTTATCCTGTTAAGGAAGAGACCCGTCAAAGAACATGTATGAATGACGCATTGACATGGACAACGATATGGGGATTGACTGTGGGAGAGGGGGGTGGGGTGGGTGGAGAGAGCAAAGGGGGAAAAACTGGGACAACTGTAATAGAATAAACAATAGAAAAGAAACATGTTAGTCAATTATTTTAAAGTTATATACATTTGATATAAACAATAAAAGTACAAACACGTTGTTAATGTTTTGAAAAGCACAAATTGCATTAGGATGAATGTATAAAACTCTTTTTTTTCAGACTATTATAAGAAATAACCCTAAAATATAGTATTTAAGACACAAATGACTTTTACGTAGAATGTATAGTATCATAGTGCTATAGAAGTAAATACCGAACAAAGCGCATTTGTGACTGGCCCTGCTGCAGCGCTCGCCTGACAGGCAGTCCTCGCCCCGTTCCCCTTACCTCCGTTCCGCCACTGAATGTGTGTTCTTAGCCTCTTCAGTTTTAGATACCTAAGGGCCCCAGTTCTGCCAATAAACCTCCAAGAAAGACTTTGTGTTGCCTTGATAAGAAAGTGGCATGTGAGTCCCTGCCTGTGAACATGGCAGGGATATGATGCTAGGAGCCACTATAGCCATTGAGCAACCATGTCAGAAAGGCCAATAAAATCTCAAGGAAGCCTGCCCAGAGCTATGCCATCTCTGAGCCATTGAACTAAAACCAGCAACAACCCCCAAGCAGCTAGTTATGTACAAAAAATAAATCCTGACTTGATTAAGCCACTATCAGTCAGGTTTTCAGTTAGGGGTAGCTCAAAACCATCCTTACCAAAGTAACTGAAGAGTGGAAAAGAGTGTTAGATGAGGTTTTTAGTCTTGAAAGCAGTCTAGTTATGATACCTCAGACCAGTTATTTAATCTTTATGGACTTCAGACAGCACTGAATGATCTTAAAAGATATTCTTAGAATTCTATTTAGTAATAATAAGCAAAACCCAAATGCACACACTTTGGCACTCTGCTACTGATTTCTTTATGTTAAGAAATCTAAATGTTCAGTGATACTTTTATTTACCTTTTTAAATCATCTTACAATTTTCCCTGCTGGTACAATAGTATTGCAGTAATGTAAATAGTAAGTATGGAGCCATAGGGATCTTGAAATGTTATACCTCTATAAAACCTAGGTCTCTATGAAAAGTAAATGAGATACAGCCAACAAGAGTCAACAGACCAAATGAGTTTGTGAACACGGGCTAGGGACATAAAAGCTTGGACATCTCAATTCAATTTAATCCATTAGTATTAATGTGCTTATTGAATACCCATTCTGTGTCATAAACAATTCTAAACACCGAGAAAATAATAGCACTAATAATAGCTACCATTTATTGAGAACTTCCTGGACACTAGTTGTTATTAAAATCACTTTAATGTGTATTGGTTCATTTAATGCTTGCAATAACTCTGTGAAGTATTATTATTCCCATTTCACAAATAAGTTTTACAGAGCCATAATACAGTTAGTGCATGGCAAACCCAGAAAAAACCTTGCTCATAACCATTACATTATATTGCTTCTCAAAGGTGAATAGAACTCAGTTTAACAGTGATGGGTTGAAGTAGTAGCTTCAAGTCTAGAGTCTCCTTGAAAAGATAAAAGAAGTAAATAGACATTCCTATTATAAATATGAAGTTCCATGTTAGGGTTTTAAGTATTGATAAGAAGCACTAATAATCTACCCAACTTTTTAACCAATACAGAAATAAAAATTAGGCAGATCAAGACCAAAATATGAATTTTATTTTTAATAAAGCCTTTGGCAAATATGGGTTAAGAATGCAGCAACAGGAAGCTAAGTGCTTGACACTAGAATTAAACAGACTAACCACTCATTCCCATTGGGGAGGAATGTGTAAAACTTAATGCAGAGGACAGAGTGTACACTTCTGCAGGCAGCTGACTCAAGGAAAAGACAAGAGGAGGGGTTGCACTTCACATGCCAATCTTCTGCTTCCAACTCTTTGAAGCAGAATTTTCTCTTCTTCCTCTAGGAACAATGAATAAGAGGGGAGGATGAAATCCATAAATTTATTAATTTGAACACTATCCCCATAGAATTTTTCATAGAACTAGACTAGCTGAATCAAAAATTTCCATTAAAGAGAAAAGGGTCTAGTATGCCAAGACAATACTGAAGATAAACAAGCTGCAGGTATTTGGTTAAAAGGAATACTAAGTAAAATAGAATAATATTGGTGCAAGAATGTATACGGGTAGATGAGACTAAAGAAAAAGCCTAGAAACCTACCCTGCATTTATAACAACTTGATATATGACATAAATGGCATTATAAGTCAGAGAAATTGTGGTAAGCAGAGATTTCATAAAGAAGATAGGAAGGATACTAACAACAAACAGAAAGAATGGGAAACTAGTCTTCACTGAAATTAAGACCCTGATCAAGAAAATGTAAAGGTAACCACGGAATAGGAAAATATATGTCCAAAAATGCAAGTGAAACGGACTTGTAACTAGACAATATAAACAAGTTCCACAGCCAATATGGAAAAGATAACCCAACAGACTTGAAGGAAAATTTCATATAAGAATATATTTAGATGACCAATATATATAATGTAAAAGTGCTAAACTTCATTATTCTCCAGTGAAATATAAATTAAAATCACCACACATCCCCATAAGAAATTAAAAAATACAGACAATATCAAGCAGGGGCAACTATATGGTACAAACAGCACCATCTTACCGCTCCTGGTGACAGTGTTAATTGCAACAACCACTTTGGAAAACAATTTGGCAGTATTTCTTAAAGCCAAACTATGCATACCAAATGGTCCAGCACTTCCATTTCTAGGTATGCATTGAGCAGAAGTGAGTGCACACGTTCGCCAAAAGGCATGCACAGAAGTTCATGGCGGCACTATTCATAAAAAGCCAAATGTCCATCAACATCTTTATATAAACAGTGATATATTTATACAAGGAAATACTATACAGCAGTGAAAATAAATGAAAACTACAATTAATAATGTGGATAAAAGGCACACAAACATAATGTTGAACAAAAGAAGCCAGATATAGAGTCAAAATTCTGTCATTTCATCTAGGGGTGGTACCAGACAATTATGATCTATGATAGAAGGAGAAAGGTCAACCTGCTGTGGCAGAGGAAGTGGGTAGTATCTGGGGGGTAACAGAAAGCATGAAGGGTTGGAGTACTGGTTCTGGTCTATTTCTTGATCTAGAATATTGTTCAGGTTGTGAAAATTCATATGCTATACATCTAAAATGTGTATACTTTGTTTTCTTTAAGGTTTTATTTATTTTTAGAGAGGGGAAAGGAAGGAGAAAGAGAAGAAGAGAAACATCGATGTGCAAGAGACTCATCATGCCCCCAACTGGGGATCCAGCCTTCAACCCAGTCATGTGCCCTGACTGGGAATCAAACCGGCGCCCTTTCGGTTCATAGGCCTGTGCTCAATCCACTGCACCACAACAGCCAGGGCTGAAATGTGTATGCTTTGTGGATATATGCTTTATTTCCATAAAAGTTTACTTTAAAAAAGAGATTTAGAGATGACCCTCTAAAGATATTCATTTGCTATTCCTCAGAACATGTAAATATGTTAACTTAAGTGTTAAGGTAAAAAGACTTTGCAGATGGGATTGGAGATCTGGAGATGAGAGGATTATCCAGGATTATCTGAGTAGGCTCAATGCAATCACATGGGTTTTAATAAAAGGGAAGCAGAGGCACAAGTGGTACAGAAGAGCGTCAGAATGAGATAACACCAGAAGGACTTGACCAGGCATTGCTGGCTTTGAAGACGGAAGATGGGGCCAGGCGCCAGGGAATGAAGGCAGTGTGTGGAAGCTGAAAAGGCAAGAAAACAGATTCTTCCCTGAAGCCTCCAGGAAGAATGCACCCTGTCAAGATCCTGACTTTGGGCTTCTGACATCTAGAACTGCAAGAGAATAAATTCGTCTTGTTTTAAAAGACTGTGGTAATTTGTTACAGCAGCAATAAGAAATTAATACATGATACATTCAAATACTTAAAGTTGTGAAAACTAAAGGTTCAGGAAAATAAGAATAAGATAAAAAGATAAAAGTTATAAGAAAGTAGCTGCCCAACAATTACAGCTGTCTGAAAATATGAAAGAATTACTGCAGGAACTGGTAGATTTTTCTGTCTATTAGAGCTAAGGAGGCTAAATATCAACAGGCAGTGAAGTTGTTGAGAAATTAAAGTGAACTACACCAGACTGTGAAAAGTTTACACCAATATAAAGATTTTATAAACTACAAAGTAAAATGCAAAATAATAATAACTGTTAAACACTAACTTTGAATATATTATATATCAATGAGATTCAGCCAGTATGTATTGTGTACATACCAATGTCTCAGTTAATATGTTATACATTTTATACAGAAAGAGATACACATTATCTCCTAAGATTGTGACTATTATTCCTAAATTACAAATAGAAAACCTGAAGGGCAATCTTTACCCCAATATCTTAAAATGGAAGGAGCTGAAGCTAAACTCTGAAAAATCCACTTCTCGTTAAAAAGAAAAAAAGCAAAAACTTTCTCAGACACAAAATAACATTTTAAATAATTTATGTATAAATAGTACATCCTTATTTTATATACGTAAACTCTTACTTTGTTTCATGTAGTGTTCTTTTCCTAAATCGAAGAGGTGCTATGTTTGAATCTGGAAGGATGAAAGTACTTTCTTGTTTCTCAGTGGATAAATTTTGTTCTGGGTCACTGATGACAGGCCTATACAGCAAAACACAAGAGTTCAACAATTACATGGGACAGTCTATTGTGTTAGCATTCTCATATTTGTAAGAAGCTGAAAAAGCCCATATATGAGTGCAAAATTACACTGCTATCAGGATGACATATTTGTCAGATAGTAAATGAATAATCACCTTGGGGTGGCATGGCAGAGGTGGAAATATTAATAAAGTGAGTTCATGAGATAATAAAAAGAGATATATTGAAGATCGTAAGTATAATTACTTCAAACAAGTTACTGAAAAACATGCATATAGAATATCATTCTTTCTGCCACCTAATGAAACAATTTTCTTCAAAGTTCAACTTAAGCCTTACTTTTGAAATCTTGCAGTATTTATATGTTGTCATTCAGTTTAGCTCAGCAGGTGCCAAAACTTTATATACTTTTCTAAGGGCTATTAAACTTAGGTTATGCTTTACAATTCACATAGTTAGTCCCACAGTTCCCAAATTGCACACCAAGTCACTCTGGGATGCCCAAGAAAACTCTCAGGGACACTGAGAGATATTTTTAATTTTTGAGGGAAACACAGTGTTTGATATTTTTTAGACACCACAGGAACTGCTAGCTCGAAGTAATTCACAGCTTCAGGAAGATACGCTCTTTCAGTGATGTCTCATCTTTGCAAAGCTGAGCTTTCTACTGTTCTGTGATAAAAAGCAAGTGTCACATGAAATCGAAAGTGAGAGCGGCAGCAAAGAGTTTGAAGCTCTGAGAGACTGGGAAGTGCCCAAAATGGTGCATCCATCCCATTAGCAAGTAATTAGGGTTATTTAAGAATGAAAAAAATACGTACCTTCTTTTAATTTCTGTCTTTATTTTTTTCAAATGGCCATTAAATTGTTAGGAAGCAAACATTCAGTAAGTTGTTTAGACAAAAATATTTAGTAAGTGGAACTGATGGGTATTTCTATTGTCCTAGGAGTACTGTGAATACAAGTACTAAAACATGAGTGCATTGAAGAGAGAAAGTTTGGAAATGTCTGAGTTAGCGACTTCTTGATTGAACAAGGATATTGATTGTCAGGCATAAAAACAAATTTGAGGAACACTTCCTGAAGGCATTTCTAATACTAACTCTTACCTAGATAGGTGGTCTACCATCACTTGCTCTTCAACAGTCTGTTTCTTTTTCTCAGCAGCTACAATTTCCTGAGAAGAGAAAATAAAGAACATCTCACTGTCCATACTTAACACAAGAGTCATAAAATATAAACTATTCACAGTATATGGAGCTGAAACTGAATTGGAATTATTCAACCCTATATCAAAACTCTAAAAAGAGGCAAACAGAATCCTCCCATCATTAAAAGGACACTAATATTTTCTACCCATATAACCCATTAATAATCTTGGATCAACTTTTCTCAATTAGTGTTTTGACTAAGCTGTCTTCATAATATTTTTTGCTTTTCCAAAATTATCTTCACTACACTTTAGGTCACATCAAACTGATATGTAACCACTCAATTCCAGTTGGATTATCATGTACCTATAATCACTAAAATGTTTCTTCTGAAGGGGAAATAAAAGAGGTTAAAAAAATTAAAAGTCAAATAAAACTTGTTCTATTTTTGTTTTTACTGAATCTTTGTTGTATTTTGTCCATTATCATTGAGTCCCCTATCCCGCTCCCCTCCCCCAGCAATCACACCGCTGGTGTCCATGTCCATGCGTCCTTTTCCTTTTTGCTCAATCCCTCTGCCCCCTGACTTCCCCCTGCCACCAGCTGTCATCCTGCTCTCCTACTATGAGTTTGTCCCCCTTTCCCTTGTTAGTTCAAACTTGTTCTGTTTTTAGAATGTAAATTACTGTCATCCATCCCCATTGATCATTCCAATAAATGAAATCGTGTAAGGTAGTATTGCTTAAGATAGAGGCTTTGTGACTTTAGAGAGAGTACTCTGTTTAAAGCTGACTCAAAATTCAAATAAGAATAACTAGAGACATATTATAGAAACAAAAAGTAGAAACATCTAAGAAACTAGGATAAGTTGGGCATAATCATTTAAATGTTAGTCTATAATTGAATTTAGATTTTTGTTTGCTAGAAATTTAAGATACATACTTTACACATCCAAATATGCCCCATATAGAGTTCATATGATTTAGTATATAACTGTATCTTGTGTTCTTAAGCTACTGACACTACATAATGATTTTTAATGATTTCTTGAAAAGTTAGAAAACCTGTGTAACTTACAGATAAGCAACATAGATTTTATATCAAAGGGTGATCCAGAAAATGGACACTGACGAAAATGTGAAGTTATGTACCAGAAAAAGATCAGAGCACAGATGTAAAACCCAGAAGCAAGCAAAAGAGGTTAGATTAATAAATACAGAGCCTATGCAGAAAGCCCACTTGAACTGTTGACATTTATGGTGGCTCACATTTTGTAGAAAAGGTTAGAACCACCCTCAGGCACATTGATTTAGAGGTCAGTGTAAACATAAAGCAGATTAGAAGCAGAAATCACACTGATGCAAAGAATCTGATAACACTGAAAAATGTCAAGCAAACTAGAAGAAATGAACATAAAAATCACACACTCACTGCTTCTGTTGTCCAGTTTAGTAGTTAAAAATAAATTAAAAAGTTGCCACTTACATTTTAAAAATAAATACTAATTTTTGATACATTCAAAGTTAGCTTACATAAACAATTCCTTAAAAAATGCAGATAAAATGTGTGTTACCACAATTAAGTGAAAGGTACTTGATAGTGATTTCATTTATATATATTGCCAGTAATAAAGCAACTCTAAGGAGAAGAAATCCACTAGCACCCAGATGGCTTTGGATTATACCAAGAACAACACTCAATGGACCTTACAAGCATATTGGTGACATGCATTGCAAGTACAACTTTAGACACTTATCAAAAAAAGCCTTAGTTGAGACACTATTTTGCCTTATAAAGTGGTTGCTTTATTTTTTAGAATGCTCCTGCTAATACTCCTTATTCTATGAAGCATAACTATCTAAATAATGATAGGCATAGAAAATAATGGGTATGTCGTTTTAGTAAAAGAACTATGACAAGTTAGCAACTTGGGCCATCCACAAAAAAATCAGCCAACCTGGTCAAGATTGATTACACAAGGCTGTTCATTCAGAAGACAGTCAACCTGAATGAGTATGACCAAAATAAAATATACATTAAACTTCCCCTCAAGGATAATGAAAATGTAACTGGCTAAATCCATATTGCTTCATTATTTAGTCTAGGTAAAGAAGAGTTTTCCCAAATTTTGAGCCAACACACATTGGTAGTCCATCAATCCATTACAGGTGTGCCTAAGATTTTAATCACCTGAGGGTGTCTGGCGTGGCCAGTGGACTCCAACTTCAAGCAGCGTGTTCTGATGGATGGTGGACACACAATGCAATATAAAGATAATGTGCCATAGAATTGCACATTTGAAACTTATATAATTTTATTAACCGACATCACCCCAATCAATTTAATTAAAAATAAACATAACATTAAACTATATCTATTGAATAAAAAGTAAAATTTTAATGTAAAATATATGGTGTAATTATCTATTTGTACCAGGAGCAGACTAAGCAATACTCATCAGATGATATAATTGATTTTCTAAAAGATATAATATAGTTAATATTGAGAGTCTAAAGTTTTGTTTCTCTCTTCCTAAAGAGCATTTACTTTATTTTTGTCCTTTTCTTTAACTGCTCTGAATTCTCTAGGTTTCTTAGTTTCTGACTTAGAAGGAAAAAACCAGACTACTTTGGGGGAGGATCAATGCCAAACAAGCTCACTGACATAAATAGCAACTAATTAAAATTTGGAACATAATAAACAAACTTTTTACAAACTCTCAAAAATTCAAGACAATTTCTCCACAGTAAATATATCAAACATCAATCATTTATAAAAATGAGGGCTCAATTTACACATTAATGAATGTTCACTTCAGTCCAAATTCAGTTGCTGAAAGTATTTATTCAATCGTAAGTTTGTAAAGTCTTGCAGGAAAAATTCTCTTACTGGCTTACCACATAAGTACATACACTGCTAACTTACGGCGTCAGATTTTCTCGTCCTCTGCTGTGCGCAGTAAGGGTTGTCTGCGTACTGCTGTTGTAAGAGGGCTTTCCTATCCAGAGTTGTAAGGTCATCCGGGACTGCTCCTTCCCCTTGTGTACACTATACATGAAGCAATAAATGAGCTTTCATGCACAGACTCTGCATATTTGTTTTTAACAAAAAGAAAAAAAAAGGATTAAAGATCCACTGAACACATCAGTGGTTACTTGGGAAGGGGTTAATAGTACAGGCTCTGATGATCCGATTGCCTGGTGGACTTCAGCTCTTCCACTTTCTAGCTAGATGATCTCCATGCCTTGGTTTACTCATGGAAATGGGAATCAAAATGGAATTAAAAATAGTAACTACTTTACAAACACACACAGAAAAAGACTAAATGAGAAAACACATGTCCAACACTTTAAAAAACACCTGACATACAGTAAGTATTAAATGAAAAGTAGTAACTATTATAACTATTATTGTTCACTTAAGTCTTTGTAAAGTTAATGATTGTGGACACGCCCGCCCCTTTATAAAATTAAATTTGGAGGTAAAGTACAAAAAAATGGGGTATATCTTTTGAGGTGAAGATCCTTTGGGGTCCTAAAGAGGTAGACACTACATTTTTCTTTAAATATAAGATACACTGACATTCCCTTAACAACAAAAGTGTTCCAGTAGGATAGTCACTGACAAAAACTTAATAGATTTCAAGAGTTTCCCCCAGGGTTTGTTCTTACTTTAGGTCTTCCTTGAAAGGCCCATCTTCATACTTTGTCTTCATGACCTTGATTGCTACGTGAAATCCTACTATACATTCATTTACGACCTGTGGCCTGCCTCTCTTGCTGTAGTAAGTTCTATGAAGGCAGGAACCTTGTCTGTCATGGTGCCGGTACAGGACCACACCCAGGGAGTATGTGATAAATATTTATTCAATGAATGAATAATGAATCATTTAAATATTAGCAATTGGGAAATCAATTTATGAGGATACTTTATACTTTTATTTATTTACCTGCTAATATATTTGTCAGATTTTCTTTCAAACATAAAGCTCCGCATTACGTTTACATTGAAAACAATTGAAAAGCATTTTATTTAGTCTCAGTTTGTTTTTAACCTTTTACAAAGGGGAAACAGTGAGATTTCTACTTGGTGTCTCAAATTTAACCTCCTCGCCCAGACTTCCTTGTGATCTTCCCCACCCTTTCAACTGCTCAGGCCAAAAGCCTTAGTTAGCATCATTCTTCATCTTCCCTTCCTCTCCAGCCTACAACCAATCCACTGGCAAATATTCTCAGTGCTACCTTCAAAATCTATCCAGAATCCAGCTTTTCATCAGATGTAAAGATTTGTGAAATTATCCTGCCTATTATTATAGACACTAGATTATATCTGTGTGCATTGTTTGGATCTGGGGATTTTGTTAAGATAAATAGAGCCAAAAGACCATAACTTTTGCTTGTTATACTTTCAGCTAAACCCCATATGATTTAGTAAATTCCAGATAATTCCTGCATGGATTAGAAAAACTAGCTCATATGTCACACATACTTATAAATTAATCTTATTCTACCTATAGAAAAATGTTAAGCAAGTACAACCATTAGACTTCTCTGAAAATACATTATTCTTATAAAAAACTAACTGAATTAAAAATTGTATATAACTGTTCTCTCCTTTATGGCCAGTTGTATCATAAACTGTCTTTCCAAACCTTTCTTTCTAAAATCCAAGACTGACCTTTCCTGTATGCTTCTGGAAATCCATGAAACTCATTATGTTTACTTTGCTCTTATTGAATTATACCTAATTAATATTAAATGAAGGCCTAACAATTTTAGCCATTCATGATGTTAAAAAAAAAAAATCTCCCAAAATGAGACAGAAGACAACCATGGAGTAATGACAGTTTCAGAATAAAGTAGGGTCACTATAAAGTCTAAAACCACTTTTCAACTTTAATATTTAGACTGAAAGACAGAGTTGAAAACAGCTATATCAAAAACAGCTATACTGTATAATATTGTCTCATTTCCAATTCCAAGGCAAGTGAAAAATCTCCAACAGAGAAAAGATGACTAGGTCATAGGGCCAGAGTTTTCACATCTTTAAGTGCTAATAATAATCCTTTAGAGTTATTATGAATAATAAACTAGTTAATCTAAGTAGAAATACTTAAAATGGTCCAGGGCATACTTATTATAACTAACAGCAAGACATACTAGACAAAAGAAAGATATTTCTAAAATATGTGTACTCTTTTTATAAAGCCTCATACATTACCTTGTCATCTACCTTGTTTCTTGGAGATGGTTGATGTGTGATATTTGATTTTGTCTTTTCTACATTTCTCTGACTATACTGTTCATGTCCCTCTTCCATTTCAGTTTTGTATTGCTGATATTTTAGTTTATATTTTCCTGTTGGTGCTGACAAATCTTCAGATATAACGTCCTGTTCCTAACACAAAAAGAAAAAGTATGCAGTCCATCATAAAAAAAATCAAATTAATTATTAATTTGCCTTATTAACATTAACAGGTTTATCATTTACCTGAACATTTGTGCCTAAGAAACAAATAATTTTATCTATGTTCTAAACAGAAGTGATAGTTGAAACATTTGGCTGCACAGCATTACTAAGCAATCAGAGCAGACAGAACTACTCAGAATGGGCACTGGTCTCCAGTACCAGTAAGTCTGTACCTTGTTTCCCAGTGAAAATCAGCTTCGGTTCTAAAATAATTTGAGAAGACAATGAACAACTTTCCTTTGTTTTTAAAAGTTCTAGATAGGCCTTTTCATCTTGCTCCAGAAAAACTCCATTGTCAGTCATTTCTTCCAGAACAGTCACAGGAATTACAGATCACTAATACTGAGAAGTACTGGTTGCCATTTCTAGAGTATTAAGATATTCTATCTTCTGGTATTATTTGGTTCCCTGCCATGGAAGTGAGACATAATAGAACCAGTGGATAAGAGAAACCAACAGTGTAAAGCAAACCATAGAGTATATGTATTGGAGGCAGTCACTTCAAAGGAGCATAAAATCAGTACAACCCTTGAAAGCTGTTGATAATATCCAAGTCTAACCCAGAGGAAAAGGATGAGGCGAAGCCTCAGGGTGAAAAATGCATCATGATACAGACTAGGGTACTATTTGTGCAATATATCCAAAATGAGGCTGGGGAGAACATGAATAGAGCCAGTTACATAAAAAAGGCTAACAAAGATAGAAAAGCAAGCCTTACCTATAGACTTCAGAGCTAGTGTTCATAACATGAAATAAAAAACGAAATGTTGTGTGAAGTACAAATATGTCCCAAGGAGATACCTTGGAGTTAGTATACTTATTTATTCCCTAACATACTGTAGCCTAAAGAATGAGTCAATTTCCAAAAAAAATAAACAGTATATTGTTAAACTACCATCATCTGATCTAATATGCTGCCATAATTTTTAAATTCCTGGATTCCCTATTAGGATAAATGTACATTTTACCAATTTTATAAGGTATTCTAATAATACCATTTTTATGTCAGAAAAAATGTAAAATAAAGTAAAATTATTTCACCAACATTATTGTTTGGGATGTTAATATATAAAATACCTAAACTAAACAAAACATAGACTAAACATAATGAAATTTTTGGATTAAATACAGTGTTAAAATGCACGCTATAATTCAGAATGTTGGTAAGAAATAAATACCAACAAGTTCATTTAGCTTATGCTGAGTATATGGCATTTGACATGGTGTGACCCTCTCAAAAGCAGAAAGTAACTTTGGTGGGTCAAAATGAATATGTGCTGAACTAAGTGGAATACATAAAAAATCATCCTAAAAATAAAATTAAATGATATTTATTATATGCTACAATATATGTAATATTGTATTCAAATGTTTGTTATATTAAATACTAAACAAAAATTACCTCTTCATCAGAATCAACAAGGCTTCCCAAATCAAGTCGTGGGACCCTGAAAGAAATAATCTATGCAGCCTATAATTTTTAAAAATAAGACTTTAACAGTTACAAATTATATATGCTGAATCTTACATGAAAAGGTACACTGAAGCTAATGGTGTGCTGATGTCTACCAGCTGTGCTAACTTTTGTTAAATGTCCAGTAATTTTTTAGTTTGTTGTTAACATAACATCATTAAAAACAAAATTATAGAAGCTTAGAATTAAATAAGTTATATAAAAATAAAAGTAATAAATCCTCAAAAGTCATTATTTGTTAATGATGTTATGACACTTCACTATTATTTGTGTCCTAGAGGTTATTTATTATACACATATCTGTATGGTAATATAATGATATACATCTCTTTCCAATTCTGTGTTCATTGTTATTACATATATAGCTTGAAATCAACCACGGTGGGATTATTTACACAGAAGGTGTCAAAATGCTATGAATCAAGACTTGATTTATTACTTTGTTGATGTCTGAGACTTTAAAAAGTGGTGGAGAAAATGTAAATAATACAGATTAAATTTAAAGTGTATCATGCCTTGCTCTGGCCAGTGTGGCTCAGTTGGTTGGAGCACTGTTCCATGAAACAAAAGATTGCAGGATCGGTCCACTGTCAGGACACATTTGGGAGGCAACCAATTGAAGTTTCTCTTACATTGCTATTTCTCTACCTCCCTTCCTTTGTTTGGATGTATCCTAGGGTGAGGATTTAAAAAAAAAAAAAAAAAGGTGTATCATGTCTTAACTAACACACTGTGAGTAACAAAAAAGAGAAATATTGTTCCAGTGTTCCAAACTATCACTTGATTCAGCAAAGAAACCACATCACCCTACAATAAGTGAAAATATCAACCAAAATTTATGTTGGAACTACACTGGTGAATCAATTACAGCTGCAGGTTGACTACAGATATAAGAGTTCAACAAAAAAAAACAAGGATATCTTTCCATGACAATTTTCCTATATGGAATTCACAAGAGTTTATATATTTTATTAGTATTTATATATTGCTTTATAAATTGCTTATTACCAGCACACAAATGATTGTTGTTACATACTCAGCAGCTTGTATCTAGTGCTTGCACCCAGCTCTGTTCATTGCCTAGAGGAGCATAAGGTACCTATTTTGTAGAACCACAAGAAATTTCTGATACTTGCCAATTTCACGCGGTTCAGCCTAATAATTATTAAGTTTTTAGTTTCTATTTTCCAAGAAGACCTATAGTCTAGAATCCTAGAAAGGACATAAAAATATATACTTCCAAATTTTAAAAGGGAAATATATATAAGTATAAAACCAGTTAACATACTGTAGTTCAAAATAAAATCATTTTAATAAGATTGATAAAATTGTCATATTCCTCAAAATCAGTTCCAATCAAATTCGTTTTGACTGTCTTAGTTACAAAATGCAAAAGTTTATATATTTCTTTAATGAATGCACTTAGCTGAATTTTCTAAATAAAACAATATTTATACATTTTCAGGAATATATAGGAATAATATTAAATAAAATAAAAAATAAGAGATGACTTATCCTTAATCCTACCACCCTATACTATAGCTACTTTAATTTTGTCATAGTAATTTTAGGCCATCCACATGCATACAAATTTTTCTGTGATTCACAATCATAGATATACATATATAATTTTGCCTTCTTCTTATCCTTATCAATAAATATTTGCCCACTAAACAGCTCAAATATGAGAAAAAGGAACTTACACAGGAAAGCAAGGAGCATTCTGGATTGCCCAGGATTTGGAAGTCCAGCCATGCTTTAATTAAAAAAAAGAAAAAACAATCAATATTTACCCTTCATTTATACTTTCAAAAATAAACAATGAATCAATGCAATATGGCTAATTATAATTTTCTCAGTAAACTTTATGTAAGAAATATTTATTAAGACTCCCGCTCAACTTGCTTGAAACACAGAGACAGAATGATAAGCAACATATTGAGTTGGCCAAAAACTGTTACACTTTTCCATATGATGGCTCTAGTAATGCTTAATTGTCTTTTAACTTCATTTTAAACAATTTTATTAGATTGTATTTGACAAGTGTCATATCAGTGTTCATTTAAAAAAACTTACCAAAATTGGTGAATTTTTGTGCAGTCATTTTAATATTGAAGATGGAAGAAGGTACATAACATTTTGGCTATTATGCTTTGTTATTTCAAGAAAAGCAAAAACAAAACTGAAATGCAAGAAAATGTGCAGTGTACAGAGAAGTTGCTGTGACTGATTGAATGTGTCAAAGTGGTTTGCAAAGTTTCTTGGAACTACTGACATTTTGGCCAAATAATTCTTTGCTGTGAGGCTGTCTTATGCATTTTGTTAATAGCACCTCTGGCCTCTACCCACTAGAAGCCAATAGTGAGAGATAGCCAACATACACAAAATATCCAAATCAATAAACTTATTTGTGAAAATGAAAAATGTGTCTTTTATTTTATGGAAAAAACTAAATGGACTTTTTAGCCAACCTTATAGATAATTCCTTCCTGCAATCTAGCTGCTGAGAAAGACCTCACTCAAACAAACAATAACATGAAAAATAAGTGCTATGACAGAGCAGCTGCACATACCATGTGCATCCAACCTAGTCGAGGAAATTGATGAAATTTACAAAAATAAAAAGAAACATTTAAATGGAGCTCTCAAGGGTGAGTAGAAGGTAGCCAGATGAAGAGAGAAGGGAGAGAATTGCTTCAGCCAAGAAAAGCAAATTCTACTAAACTAGCCCACAGGCAAGAGTTGGCAGTTGGAGAGGGTTGAAACCCAGAGTGTGAGAAAGTAATGGCCAGAACTGTTACTTTATAATACAAGTTAAGGGACTTGGACCTTGTCCTAAAGGGAAAGGGGAAGATAGTGAAGAATTTTAGCAAGGAAGTGACAAATAAATACATTGTATATATTTGTAAATGTTTAGTCTTATTGCCAAAAAAATTGTGCAGAGACCAGAAAATTACAGTGAGCTTGGCCACGAAGAAATATGTATGAGTCTTGAAGAAAGTTCAAGTTAACAAAAACAGGAAATAATTCACCCATCGGTGCTAACAGCTTATTTTGGAATATTATCTAACTGTTCATTTTTGTGAAAGCATGTATAGAGATTATATGAAAGACTGAACTCCATCATTCTGGCCACAAGAGTAAGAGAAAAACTTGGCTCTGTACCAATTTTAATATGACATTGTTTTTAAATGCTACCCTGAAAAATCAAGATGGCAGAGGGGTGAGTGGAAGTCACGCTGACCTCCTCCAAGGGCCAATCTGGAATTACAACTAAATTGTGGAGAAACCACATGGAACAAACAACTAAACAATAGCAAGAGAGGAGCTTTATAACCTTGGACAGACAGAAGAATAAGCTTTAGCACAACCTAACTGGTAAGGAGTGCAGTAGAGACTCCAGAAGGTGGGCAGGGTACCCATGAGCAGCAGCACCAGAAGGATATTCAAACGGCCAGTTGGATCCCCCTGAGGAGAGTGGGGTTTAAACAATAAGTGGGGATCTCCAGCCTACAGCACTAGAGCCCAAAAAGTACACAGATAACAGCTAGCTGCGAAAAGCGGCAGCATTGCTCTCTGCCAGAGACAGGCGGCTGGAGACAAAAAGAGCCATCTAAAGGGCCAATGCATAAATTTTTATTTGCAGCCACTTACCCTGGCCTCCAGCAAAGGCAGAGGCAGAGAGGGCTCAAGATGCCTGAGGAGACACTGGGGAAGGAGGATTTGGGGAGACAACTGAGAGAGTAGCTAGTGGGAACCCAGTGCTGACTCATCCCCCATGAGGCAGCAGCCTTCTTGCTCAGGCAGACCACTCCCCTGAGTGACAACAGTGTGAGAGGACCCACTAACCCCACCTCCAGGAAGGACTCTGCCCTGGCCCGGTGGTACTAAAGCCTGACTGCTGAGTACAGAGTGGCAGCCACAGATAGTAGATCCCTGGCTAAAGGGGGCACAGAGCAGTCTAGAGACACTAGAGGAGAGACTGGAGATGGAGGCTTTGGGGAAAGATCAGAAAGAGTAGCCAGTGGGATCCTGGTGTTGACTCCGCCCATATGGCAGCAGCCACCTGGCTCAGGCAGACCACTCCCCTGAGCGGGAGCAGTGTGAGACATCCCAATAACCCCACCACCGGGAGGGACTCTGCCCCACCCTGTGGTGTCTAAGCCTGACTGCTGAGTGCACCTTGACTAGATTAACAACTGAATGAGACAGCCACAGACAGTAGATTTCTGGAAGTCTCGAACAGACTGCCTAAGGTCACATAGGGTGAACATCTGACATCATCAGAGGCAGATCCAGAAAGAAGAAAACAGCAGTCTCCTACCATAGAAGTTCACACCACAAAATCAGGAAATCAAGACAGATAAATTTAAGAAGCAGAAGCAATAAAGAAGAGTCTTATAAATAATGGGAAGACAAAGAAACACACCCCTCCCCCAGTCTCAAGGAAAGGAGGAATCCCCAGGAAGAGAACTAAATTAAATAGAGGCAAGTAAACTATCAGATACTGAGTTCCAAACAACGGTTCTAAGAACGTTCAATGAGCTCAAAGAGAATTACAAAAAACTACAAGGAAACTACAAGGAACTTACTGCAAACTATATCAGCATGAAAAAGGACATAGAAACTATAAAGAAGAGACAAGAGGAAATGAAGAATACAATTTCTGAATTGAAGAACACAGTAAAAGGAATCCAAAGCAGGCTAGCTGAAACTGAGGATCAAATCAGCGAACTGGAGGATAAGGTAGAAAAAAGCTCCCAGGAAGAGCAAGAAACGGAAAAACGACTCAAAAGAATGAAGAGGTATTTAGGGAAATGCAGGACAACCTAAAATGTAATAATATCTGTGTAATAGGGATACCAGAAGGAGAAGAAGAGGAGCAAGGGATAGAAAACCTGTTTGAAAAAGTAATGATGGGAAACTTCCCTAATTGGAGGAGAGAAAAAGTTACACAAGTCCAGGAAGCACAGAGGGTCCCATTCAAGAGGAACCCAATGAGGCCCACTCCAAGACACATCATCATTAAAATGGAAAATATCAAAGACAAACAGAGAATCCTAAAGCAAGAAAGGGAGAAAGAGTAACGTATAAGGGAGCCCCGATTCAGCTAGCATCTGACTTCTCAACAGAGAAACTGCAAGCCAGAAGGGAATGGCAAGAAATATTCCAAGTCATGAAAAGCAAAGGCCTGCAACCAAGACTGCTCTACCCAGCAAGGCTCTCAATGAAAATGGAAGGCAAAATAAGGGGTTTCCATGACAAAAGAAGGCTAAAAGAATATGCCTCCACCAAACCAGCATTGCAAGATATGCTGAAGGGACTGCTGTAAGAAGATGAAGAAAAAGAGTCTATGAATACCCAGTTCCTTTCACAGTCACCAATACTTGATATTACCAACATTTTTAATACTTATTAACCTGATTATCACAATGATGTGTTATTTTGTTACTTTATTATTTGTTGAAATGAAACCTGTTTTTATTTCTTGCCTATTTCTATTATTTTTAAAAAGCTTTAAATGACTTTTTTGTATTTTTATCCATTTTTTGATTAAATGTTTGTAGAATTTTTTCCCTGAAACTATTAACCCTTTTCTAGATGTGTTGCAAAACTTTCCTATTCTATTGCTTGTCCTTTAACTTTTTTTATATGTATATTACTGTATAATCTTAAATGTTTAATTAATATAGTCATATTGCCAATATTTTACTTTATAGCTTCTGGGTTTGAATATTTTACTTCAGGGTAAGAAAAACATTAATTTGTATTTTCTCCTAAAACTCCTTAGATTTTGCAAATTGATTTTTAACTCACCTGAATATTTTGTGTATAATGTGTGAAATAAGGCTCAATATTTGTTTTATTTCAAGTAATAGTGGTCCATGTACCTTATTTGTTGAATAAGCCTTATTTTCCCCATTGATTTGAAATATCAATTTAAATCATACATTACATTGTTAAAGAGATATATATGTTTGTCTCTAGAATGTTCATTTTATTTCATTGCTCTCTTGATTATTTCTGTGCAGGTGGCATGATTGCTCAGACTTTATAATGGATTTAAATTTTTTAATATTTTATAGTGGTTCCTGACATTTAAAAAAATAAATAAATAAAATCAATCTGCATTTTTAAAAAAAAGAAAGGAAGAAAGAAAGAACTCCTACCTTTAGTGACAATATGGATGAAACTGGAGAATATTATGCTAAGTGAAATAAGCCAGTTGGTGAAAGACAAATACCATATGATCTCACCAGAAGTGGAATCTATTCAACAAAATAAACGAACAAACATAATAAACCACAGGCATGGAAACATGGAGCAGACTGAAAGTGACCAGAGGGGAAGGGTGAAAGAGGACAATAGTGGAAAGAAGGAGAAGGGATTAGACAAAGAACATGTATGAATGACCCATGGACATGGACAACAGAGTGGGAATTGACTCGGAGGGGCGGAGGGGTGGGATGGATGGAAGAGGGCAAAGGGGAAAAAAACTGAGACAGCTGTAATAGAATAAAATGATTTAAAAATAAAAATAAATAAGTGCTATCCTAATAAATAGTCAAAATTTAGACATATAAAATCACAAGATTATTTCAATGTAAATATATTTTAATATATAATAAATGAAATAAATGTATATTATTTATATTTAATTAATTTTACATAGTAATAAAATAATATATACAGGGTCCAGCAGAAGTATGGCCTGCTTGAACATAGTTGGTAGGGTAATAATATGGGTGTAATAAT